ACCTACCTATCATGCAGGATTATTGAAATACTGGATCAAATGCTATAATATAGCAAGAAACATCTGTACAAGCAAAATCACTCCCATTTTCAAATGCAACTTAAAAAAAAGTAAAGTACAAACTACTGTCAGATTCTCCAGTACAATGACTTTGTAAACCGTATATGAGGATACAAAAAAAACGGCTTTGATATTAGAGATTTGAAATATTAATATTGGTATATTAACACTTGTCATTACTTGACATCAACATTCGAAATAATTGCGGACTTGGGTGTCCTGTGTATTTCACTGCATGGGTGGCTTTCAGGATCCAAAACAATCCCATTTTCTTCTACTTCTCTATGTACCTAAAGAGGATATATTTGAAAACCTGTTTAAAAATAAGAATTAAACCCCTAAAGTACAAACCTGAAAGCAGGGTTTTTAAATTTAGCTTCTTTTAAAATTTTATTTATGAAAATCTATATATATAAATATTCTTAACAAAGAAAATCTTAATTGCAAATTATTAACACAGACAACACATAAAAAACACTTAAAACTACAAATCTGAGGGTAAACTTCAATTATGAAAAACATGCATCTTATTGAACACCTAATTACAGGAACTAAGCCTGGTTTGGAATATCACCTCCTTAAGGATATAAATACACCTTAGATTTGTTAAATGCCTCAGACCCAGCATCTAAAATCTGAAACACAGTAGATACTCAATTGTTGTTGAATCAATGACTGAAGCTAAATGACAGTCTATGCTATCTTGGCTTTAAATGCTGAGTTGTGTGCCTAAACTGCTTTTTTTTTTTTTTTTTTACCTACCTATCATGCAGGATTATTGAAATACTGGATCAAATGCTATAATATAGCAAGAAGCATTCTGTACAGCAAAATGCTCCATTTAAATGCAACTTAAAAAAAAGTAAATGCAAGCTACTGTCAGATTCTCCAGGTATTTTCTACAATGACTTTGTAAACTGTATATGAGATGCAAAAAACTAGGTTGGCTTTGATATTAAATTTGAAATAATTATATTAAGATATATTAATAATGGCAGCTTACTTTCCCAATCATTGCGAACATCAACATTCCAGAAATAATTGCAGACTTCGTGTCCTGTAACGCCTTTCACTGCATGGGTAGCTTTCAAAGGATCCAAAACAATCCCATTTTCTTCTACTTCCCTTCTATATACCTAAAGAGGATATATTTAAAAACCTGTTTAAAAAATAAGAATTAAACCCCTAAAGTACAAACCTGAAAGCAGGTTTTTAAATTTAGCTGCTTTTTAGAATTTTATTTATGAAAATCTATATATGGAATATAAATATTCTGCTAAAAGAAAATCTTAAATTGCAAATTATTAACACAGACAACACATAAAAAACACTTAAAACTACAAATCTGAGGTAAACTTCAATTATGAAAAACATGCATACGCAATGAACACCTAATTACAGGAGTTGTTAAACTAAGCCTGGTTTAGAATATCACCTCCTTAAGGATACCAATGCACAGCAGTTTTGTTCAATGCCTCAGACCCAGCATCTAAAATAGTATCTGAAACACAGTAGGCTCTCAATTATTTGTTGAATCAATGACTGAAAGCTAAAATGACACGAAGATCTATGCTATCTTGCTTTAAATACTGAAGTTGTGTACCTAAACTGCTAAGTAAAATTAATTATTTCAAAGTTATAGGTTACTTCAGAAAGTTTTACAAGAAGTTAATTTCATCAACATGAAATGAATAATGTTATTATAAGAACTAGCTCTCAATTTATGGAGTGCTTTATGGGTCCAGATACTGTTAGGCATTTCACATACAGTTTCTTTTTTAAATTTTTTTTTTTTCAACATTTATTTATTTTTGGGACAGAGAGAGACAGAGCATGAATGGGGGAGGGGCAGAGAGAGAGGGAGACACAGAATCGGAAACAGGCTCCAGGCTCCGAGCCATCAGCCCAGAGCCTGACGCGGGGCTCGAACTCACGGACCGCGAGATGGTGACCTGGCTGAAGTCGGACGCTTAACCGACTGCGCCACCCAGGCGCCCCTACAGTTTCTTTTTTAAAATGTCCTTCACCAAACTACTTTTTCCTATATGCTCATTTATTCATGTTATTGGGACTGCTATTTTCCAGTCACCTGAACTGGAAAGTTTAGACTTTTAACTCCTCCCCTCACATTTCACATAGCTATTAAGCTCATTACTCATCGTGTAGGAGATTCTTGACTCTTCTACTATTCAACAGCTTGACTTTTCTACTATTGGTTACTTCTTTTAGCTGGCTTTCATCACTATGTACTTGACCCTCTCAAGTGGTATACTTGGTCTCTGGTTTCTTCCTTATGAGCTTAATCTTCCTAAAATGTTACTTTGTAGGGGCGCCTGGGTGGCTCAGTCGGTTGAGCGTCCGACT